TTAAATAGTGTTTTATATTTCATGAAATCTTTATTTGAATATAGAAAATGTAATGACTTAAATTAATTTACTGAATCTAATACATAGATTCACTTGAAATTTGATATTTTTACTTAAATAGAATAAATATTTACTTCAGTAAAAAAACAATTTTAAGTAAATCTATTTACTTAAAAAATTTTTTTGTCAGTGTATACAGTAGATAATTAGAGCTAGCGGTGAATTTTGAAACACAAAGCCTGCCGATGCAGGCAGACGCACGGCATCTCGCGACGCCTTTGCTTATGGCATGGCTAACTTTAAGGCCCAGTTTTCCATTTTCTGGTTAATTGTTAACCAGAGGTTAGTCGACTCTCTGTCTCCTCTCAGACAATAACGTAGAAAAAGATGCAGAGTTGACTGACTTCTGGTTAATTTTTAACCACAAGTTAGTCGACTCCCTATCTTCCCTTATATTACTATCTAAAGAGAGACAGAGAGTCGACCAATCTCTGGTTAACAATCAACCGGAAAATGAAACACCTAAGAGAGAGGTAAATTAAAAGTTAAAAGTTACCGATAAAATGTAACTAAATTCAGTTAAAAGTTAACAGTCGATAATGTAACACACTAAGTTAAAATTATTTAACTTTTTAACTTAACTTTTATCTTTTCAAACAGACACCACCCAACCCTGACGATTATACAATGTATAATGTACACTTTATCAACTGGCATAAATTTCTTAAATGTATTTATTGACTACGAAATAGAATGTTTCTACGCGGAGAGAATTTTCCCTGAAAATTTAATTTAATTTACGGCGAAAGAAAGAGTACTACAAAAAGATCGAAAGCAAAAGGTAAGGCACCAACAAGGTCGTTGTTGTTACAAAGCCTACCTGCTCAAGTTTGATATAAAATACAGGTTGGACAAAACGCTACGGTAGAATACATATAGAACGTGTGTCGGCAGTGTTAGACGAGAGGAAAAGCAGGAGATGCGACCAAAGTTGCTGCTTGAGGGACGAAAAGAGGCGAGGGAGGAAGATTATCTAATGGAAGACGGTAGCTTATTGTAGTATTTGGCGGCACAGTACGCAAGATAGGCTCGAAATTTAGTGGAGCGATGGGGAAGAGGGGGGGGGGGGTAGATAGCAGATCAAGATAGCGAGTACGAGGAGTGCTTGAGGTGTGGCATCATGGGACAACATGGCATTTTCAACAACTTTATGGGAGTTTACTGGTAAAATGTGTACCGAGTATAATCACCAGTAAAATGTATGATAAAATTTCGAAAAAAGTCGAATAAAATTCTTGGAAATGCCACGTTGTCCCACGATCGCGTGATTTTCAGGATAGATTTTTCGAGAAAATTCTCTCCGTGCAGACGCAGAGAGCACATTGTAGATCAGGCTCCACACCATGCTTAAGCTTGACGGGGGGGGGGGGGGGCGGATTTGCGCTACGCTTCCGCGGCGTGAATTTGTTCGCGCTGAAATGGAATGCGGCGCACATATAAATGAAGTAACAGCATTCGAAACGTCCCGAAAGTTTGCTCGTTTCGAGTCGCGCTCGCAAGTGCGACGAAGGATGAACGCGGCCGATCTCCGAGTCGCTACGGGGCCCCTGTTCTTTATCGCCGGGCCGCGGCTTCAAACTCTCCACCCCGTTTTTCGCCGAACTTGGAACGCGCGTCTGTCTCACTTCGCGCACGGCCGGGTGTACACCGGAGTGCAGCTAAAAAGAACAGGCCCGCGGTCGAACGGCTCGGCGACAAATGATCTCACAAAGCACCGCGCTCCCCCGTAACTGCGATTCCTCGTCCAACCCCTCGTGCGTACCTCCTTTCTGCCGACTCGGAGTAGGATCGTGCCGGCACACACAAAAAGAAGCTGCCCAACGTGGCGGGAAGTGCACGTCGCGAGACAACCGAACTCGCGGGAGAAACTCACTCAGCACGCAGGGGAGAGACACCTCCCGCTGTTACTCGCCCCATTCGCGGCACACGCGCTTCGCATTTCCCAGAGCCGAGTATTCGTAAACCGTCACATTTTCCCGCGAACCGTAGCAATTGCCCCGCGCGCGCGCGCGACGAACACCCGTCGCGATAGCTCGTCGCGGACTGACAACGCGGGACAATGCCGGCGGCCGGGGCCGGCCGAGCCCGGCCGGAGACGGCCGAGAGCCGGCGCGGAGCGGCGGCGTCGCGCGCGCGAGTGTATTACGTGCGACGACCGATTGACGGCCGCGAGGCTGACTATTGATGTTCCCCGAGATGCTCTCTGCCAATTCCGCCGGTCGACGGCTCACGGCGTGTCCGCGAAACGGAGTCGCCATCCGGCCCTTCCCTCTTTCCCGTAGCTCTCACGACCGTCTATTCCGGAGCGCCGACGAGATCGGATGAGATCGCGGCGCGCAGATCGGCCGCCGTCACGAACCGACGCTCCGGGACTCCCCCGCCGCGCGCCGTGTAGCGAATCCGCCGTGAATTTAACTCCCTCGCGGGATATTCGAGAGATGCATCATCTCTTCCCGAGATATTGAGGATATTGAGTTAGTTTTATGCAGCTGTCGGCGGTGGAGGAGTATGAAATCCCGTTGGCACTTTCAGTATTAACGTGATTAATTACGTTGATTATTTTCGTATCAAAAAAAAGAGCGCGCAAAAAGTTAAATTCCGACGAGTAAACGATAGTTTCAACATTTTTCTTAATTTTAGTATCTTGTAGACAAAGTTTAACGAGGCTAAAATAGCAATATGTTAGAACAATTTCACAAATTTAAATATACTTAAATAAATGTAGTCAGTTACATTGATTATTTTTGTATGAAGAGCGCGCGAAAGATTAAATTTCGACGAGTAAATGATAATTTCAAAATTTTTTATAATTTTAGTATCTTGTAGACAAGTTTAACGAGAATAAAGTAGCAATATGTTGGAACATTTTCACAAACACTTTTAAATATATTTAAGATTAAATAAATGTCTTGTTTTCATTCATAGAACAAATATGACTGATACTTTGAAATGTGCAAAACGGAATTTCTTAGATCTTCTTAAATTAATCTTGTAAAAAAAGTATTTCAATGTAAATATAATCGTTTCTTTGATTATATACAAAGACTCCGACATAAACGGCAAAATGTATAACAAATGTTATTGACAAGATAAACATTTTACATAAAATTATATAAACATTTTGATTCTACACTTATCTTCCCAGCCCGTATATGTGGCAGCCTAAATATAATCTCTCGTTTACGGTATGTGATTTCAGTCGCGGAACTGCCTTGATAATTATCAACTACGACCGACTGTTATTACCGAACTCTTTTCGCTGTTACTCTCGGCGTAGAAGCGTAAGTGGTAGACCCTTTCCGTTTTTACCGACAAAACCCATTCTCGTCGCTACGGGAACGAATAAAAAAAAAACTGCCGAGCAAGCTGTGCAATTTGAAAAAGCAGATTATGATTCGTCATTCGCCTGAGTGTGAAAGGCGGCAGCGAAGCGTCTAGCAATCAGTGCATCGCTATTAACGGATTTCCTTTACTTTCGATCGGCATTAATGAAGCGTTCGCGTGTATCGCGTTCCGGTCCCGGGTCCGGTCGTGAATGTTACATCGCACTCACCACGGGCCATGTTCGCTGCATATCGTACCAGGGACGGCAATTTATTAAATAGACACCGCGCTTTATCACGGTCAACGGCGGAACGAGACAAATTCAGACGTCGCGCGAAAGTGACGCTGAGGAGCCAAACTCGTCGCGACATCACGTCCGGTTAAATGAGCTTCCCTACAGGCGCGAACCAACTCGAAATTCTCGTGTACGAGACGTCCCGCAATCGCCGTGCATCCTCGTCTCCCCGAGCACCTCGAGGAACAACTGGGAAAATCGAAAGCAAACAAAATCTTTTGGCGAATCCATTTAAAACGCAAATAGATAACATCTTTCGCACAAGTCCGCTCCTAATTTTTCGTATTATTGGACTCAAGCTGTTACAATGTTCAATTATTTTCTATTTTTTTTATGCTAGACTAGAACTAGCATTGCGGCAACGATTAAATCGTTTATAACACATCGAATTTTGAGAATTTTTGAGAATAGATTGCATCAAATATTCCATCGGATCTTTTATTTCATTTGCTATTTACGAGTAAAATAAAGGGCTGAGACTTCCGCCACCTATTTTCTTCTTAACAAATTTTTCACGTTTTCTTTCATTCATCCATTATCTATCATTAAATTCGCATCGCCTCTTTCTATCGTCCTCTATCTCTCTCCATATCCCCCTTTTCTTCTTAAAATTTACTTCTACCTTCTTCCTTGGCAGATGTCACCGTGACAAATGGCAGTGGCTACGGTGGAGGTTAATGACGAACTTTCCTCATCCGAGAGAGAGACAGAGACAGAGGGAAAAAGAGAGAGAGAAAGAGAGAGAGAGAGTCGAATAATGAAAATGTTGCTTGGAAAAGGGAATGAGAAAGATAAAGATAAAAATTCCGGTACGACTGGTCCGCAATTTGCGTTTTCTATGCAGCTTTTCAGTGCGGCGTACGTGCTTCCAGTGCCGAGACGCGATAGAGTCGTCTCTGTTCCCTATCCAATCAATCGGTCATTCCCAAGTTCTGGTAACAGTTAGCAGCGACCGACGACATAGAGAGTCCGTAGATCGAAATTAGTGTATCGCGAACTTAATAATTCCACTTCCATTTGAGCGCACAAAAAGGTCTTTATGCCAATCACCGGCACTGAGAGACCCATTTTGTTGAATGAAACAAAATTTAGTAGACTCAACTGAATTTCTTGTTTGGACATGAGCAAACAAATCTTTCAGTTAATACAACAAAAAATCTAGTTGGAAAATTTTTTATATCAACACACAAATTTGGTTCAGTGAACATGCGTAGAATCCTTTTATAATATTCAACTAAACGATTCAGTCAACAAAATGATTCAATCAAATTGTTTCGTTTCATTCGACAAAATGGGTCTCTCGGTGCGCCGATAAAAAAGCAACGATTGGCATAGACCGCTTTCGCGCATGTAGCGCTAAATGAGACTGCCCGGTCCTCTTTCCCGATCGATGAAGTGGCATTTCACTGATTCCAGATTTCAACTTAACTTCCGGACGAACGAAACTTGCGATCGGTCAACCGCGTTCGGCGATATCTAAACGTGCCATCAGATTTTCTCCGCGTATCTCCGCGGCATCGAAAACTGCAGCGATTGGTATACCGGTTTCAGCTCCGGCGACGATCGTAAGACTTGCTCGCGAAAATAAAGCAATTGAAGCTGGCCAGACGAGCCGGAGTGCCGGGGGCGGCCGGGCGAGGTCGCGAGAGGAGGGACTTTGAAGTCGAAAATAGCCAAAAATCCCCGCGACCCGGGCACGGAGCTGTCTCCTCTCGCTCTCGAGAAAAGTAACGGTGCCGGATCGTTGAACCTGGTGCACGATGTGACGTGTGGTGCCCATTAACAGAGCCCAAGGAGAGGACGGTGCGCGGGACTCATTGTCGTGGCGGGATAGAGGAGTCAGCCCAGGAATATACCGCCCGAGGCTACATCCCTGGCACCGTAATGATCCGATAAGATGCACGGGATTATTCGAGTGTAAAACTCGCGCGGAGCAGGATCGGCGAGCTATCGCCGCGCTTCCGCGCTTCTCGGTCGCTCGGACTTCTATTTATAAGAGATCCCGCGATAAGCGGAACGAGGAATCGCGTGATCCACAAGAAACGCTACGCAGATCTGACGAATCGAGACGTATGGTTAGAAAATTGCGGATCGAGCTGCTAAAACGACTCGAACGGACGACTCTTTATCTCCGATCTCAGGGTTTCTACGATGAGAATCATCTGATGAGAACAAAATAAGACAAATTCTTGAACAGAGCTCGCGTAATTTGGTGTGACGCGACATGTGAGGAGTGTTAAATATATCGAATAGAGCATCCTTATGTTGTAATTCAGTGATAAATTGACACAGATTTACTTCGCACGCGATAAAATTTCCCTCTCGCGAATAGTGAACGTTCCTCATTCAGAATTCGTTGCAGGCCAGGTAAATGGTGCTGCGCCTGGGTCAGAGATAATGGAGAGAAGAAGGTAACTATATCCATAAGAAACGCTACGCAGATCTGACGAATCGAGAGGTATGGATAGAAAGTTGCGGATCGAGTTGATAAGAAGACTCGGAGGGACGATTCTTTATCTCCGATCTCTATGTTTCTACGATGAGAATCACCCGATGAGAACAAAAGACAAATTCTTGAACAGAGATCGCGTAATTTGGTGTAACGCGATATGTGACGAATAATTATGTCCGATAGAGCATCCTTAGGTTACAATTCAGTGATAAACCGACACAGATTCACTTCGCACGCGATAAAATTTCCCTCTCGCAAATAGTGAACGTTCCTCATTCAGAATTCGTTGCAGGCCAGGTAAATGGTGCTGCGCCTGGGTCAGAGATAATGGAGAGAAGAAGGTAACTATATCCACAAGAAACGCTACGCAGATCTGACGAATCGAGAGGTATGGATAGAAAGTTGCGGATCGAGTTGATAAGAAGACTCGGAGGGACGATTCTTTATCTCCGATCTCAATGTTTCTACGATGAGAATCACCCGATGAGAACAAAAGACAAATTCTTGAACAGAGATCGCGTAATTTGGTGTAACGCGATATGTGACGAGTGTTAATTATGTCCGATAGAGCATCCTTAGGTTACAATTCAGTGATAAACCGACACAGATTCACTTCGCACGCGATAAAATTTCCCTCTCGCAAATAGTGAACGTTCCTCATTCAGAATTCGTTGCAGGCCAGGTAAATGGTGCTACGCCTGGGTCAGAGATAATGGAGAGAAGAAAGTAACTATCCACATCAAGGCGGAACAAACTTGCACGTAGTTCGCAATAATGTGCCGTATCAGACGCGGTCTGATGCAACGTATAATCTCGTAAAATTCATTTCAGGGAGTCAAAGGGGCTTAACGAAATAGATGACTGCGATTGCCTGAAACGCACGACAGCCCGGAACAGATTTTCCCCCGTAATAATACCTATTAGGACTAGCTGTTACGTATTGCCGCCATTTGGAGTTCGTTCGCTCCCGCGCGACTCGGACGCGCATCGAGTAACCAGCGTGAGGATTGCGGAAAATAATTATGTATCTTGTTACTATGACTATTTCTGGACAATGGATCTTTTTCACAATCGAGAACTTTCGAATGGAATCTCGCGTCGACTGTGGCCAGGATATGCGAGAGCTAATGCGTTTCTTCGTTGAAATCGCTGGCAAAATCGCGTGTAAAAATTCATAATTTAACTTGACGCAAACCTGAATTAAATGGGACATATGTACGTCTAAATGCTGAAGTGTACACGTGACCAACTGGCGACACGTGCTTCCAATGACAACGAAATGTCTTTTAATGGGCGTTTAATCACCTAATTACGCGTAAGAACGAAGAGGTTCGCAGTTGGGATAATGTAATAATCTTATGGAGGACATTAGAGATGGAACGCGCGAATACGACGTTTGAAATATGGTTGGCGCGCATTAGAGAAAGGTTGGCCACTACTGGCCTAAGAGATTTCACGCTGTCCAAACTCCTCCGACACGAACGACGCGATTAATCTTTCCGGGCGAGTGTCGCCGCCTTCTAATCTCACCCGAATTCTATCCTCTCAATTCTACCAAGCGTGAAGGTGACACGCCTCATTGACGCTCGGTTTTGATACGCGATGATGTAACGACCTACATACGTGTCGTCGAGATCTTTCAAGTCTGAGGGAATCTAGTCGATGAAACAAGTTACTTGCGAAGAGTTTAAGATTTTAAGATCTATTACATTTTATCGGCTCTCCGGTACCAGAAATTCGGCAAAAAGTAGCAGACTACAATTGCATAAAAACAAACGTATAATTTAACCAAGAATTAATCGTGTTTGTTCGTGGTTTGTCGTAATTTCCTCAAATTAAAGTTCTGTCACGTCCACGGATAAAATAAAAAGTAAAGTAAAATAATATAAGTACCTGAAGTCTAATTTCCTCATTTTTCGCAATTTCAACGGAGGGATAATCTCGAAATGCAATAAATAACACTGCTGATATTGAGAGACGAATCCGTCTAGTTGTTTGCTTTATCCTCTCGTTATTTATTCTTTACAAATTTAGTCTCATACGAACTTTCACGATATACAGACAAGGTGCTCTATGTATAATCGACTCTACCTTATTTTTTTACTTCGAAGACAAGTGAATTCGTGAGCTTTTACTTTCATTGTATCGCCTTAAAGCATTTTTTTCATTATCTATTTATTTATTTATTTCTCTCCCTTTCAGTTTGATTATGAATTTGCTGGCACAAACTCATGGACTCTTAATGTTTTCGGCGAGAGTTTGATAAAGCTGTATTGCTTGACAAGGACCTGGAATTAGGTCGAAAGGTTGTATTTAAAATAAACTACCTAAATTTTTGTCAGTTTGGTCGACTACAAGTCTTCCTTTTTGGTTAAGAGATGAAATTTTTAATAATTTGAGAGTTGATAAAAAATCAAGTCAAGCGAGCTTTCAGAGCGCCAGACTAACCCAGATTATTCCGAGCACATATTCTCTATGAAATTTATTCCTTGAGTCTGCTTCATCGGAGAAAAAGAACGCCGGTCGACAGAACAATGCGGAAACTTTGACAGGACGCTTATCTCTGTACTGCTTTATATTTATCGAGAGCAGCGAGAAGAGAAGACTCGGACTCTGCAGTCTGGCTTCTCGCTCGCTTTCCGCGAGAGCTAGAATTTATCCTTTCGATCGCTCGTACGAGTTTCACTTGACGTGTCATCGTATTTCATCCCCGCAGTACATACAGAAGACAGAAGGCAAGAGGAAATGGAGAGGAAAAATGTCATTTATTGCCCTCTGACAGCGAGTAGCAGTGCCACGTGTAAAATGAGAAATGGTAAGTATAAACGATTACGGGAAAATAAAACGTGACAATAACAAATGCACTTTCATATGTTGCTACATGAGTAGATAGTTTTCAACAGTCGTACAATATTTAAACATTAATTTAATTGCACACGTAATCGTTCAGTTTCTTGGCCGGCTTCTATTAAAGCTAAATAGCGCGCGCAATGTTCTGGGTACATAAATTGTGCGCGCGGAGAAGAAGAAGAGAGAGAGAGAGAAAGAATGAGCTTGTATAAATTTCAAGGGTTTACAAAATTAACCGCGAAAAAGTGAGCCAAAATAAACAGCTGTGAAAGAGCGAGTTTTCCTTCGATATTGCTGAATTTATCTCGTATTCGCTAAACGCGTCCTCTCATTTGCGACGGAGCCTGGCAGTGACGCAAGATTCCTGGAGCTACGAGAGAAGGCGCGACACAGAGAAGAGAAAAGATGGGGAAACACGCGATGGCATTTCAAATCACTCGGCAGATTCACGTATCTGAATAAATCTAACGGCGCGCATCCGCATGTCGAGAGGAAGGAGAATGTGTGTGTGAGAGAGAGAGAGAGAGAGAGGGGGGGGGAGAGGGAGAGAGAAAACAAACGAGAGGAAAGGGAGCCATGAGGAGAGATCAGAGGAGATGGTAGGCAGGCAACAGGAAGACACGGAGAAAAGGGGGACAATGCCGATCCTCCCACTGGCCGTGGCATTCGGAATCGTAGCTTCTGCTCGTGCCTTTCTCTCTTTCTCCCGAGGAGGTATCGGCCGCGGATAGGAGCGGCCAAGTGAGAGAGAATCAGAATTTATCGCGACCTTCCTCGCGGAACGCTTGTAAACGTGCTCCTTTCTGTACGCGGCACCGGGAAAACTGCGACACACGTCGGCGTCGATCTTCGACGTTCCTGCACATAGCGATTCGTTGCAAACGTTAAATCATCGCTTTCCTGGCGGAGAAAAAGCGGAAGGGAGAATCCGATTTTCGTGCGATACGTCGGCTAACTAGGAATGTTTCGCTAAAATTATAAAGATTCAGTGTTCTCGGTCGACGCATGAATCGTTTGCCTCCGGTAATAATAAGTAAATTAATTCATGAACATGGACAGTTAATTTCAGAAACATTTACATCCAAGTAAAACTGATCGAAAGACGTGCCTCCTCTCGTATGAATCTCTTATTGTAACTGTGCAGCGCACGCGTATCCCGTACCAGCGCGCTGTGTCTCTCTGACACGCGGCTTCAACTCGGTGGAAAGTCGGGGAAAACGGAGAGTCCCATGTCGTAAAGTTTCCGAGTTTCTCGACCCGAGACGGCCTGGGCGAGATCGAGCGGCGATGGAAAAATGCGGTATATGACGTTCTTGCCGTCTAAAACGCGGCGCGGACGCGACGGTAGAAACGGAAACGGCGAGTCTCGCGAACGCCGGTTGAACGCCGGTCGCGTACCTGTTATGGATGATACGTGTAAACCGCGTTACGGTTCTGCCATTAACCGCATTTACACGCGCAGCGGAGCGAGTAAGCGCGGACGTCGCGTTCCTTCCGCCTCCTCGTTACGTGCCTCTTCCACATCGGGTCTTCCCATCGCTAAACGTACGAGCCCCGCGGGAATCGTTACATACAAAAAAAAGAAGGAAACAGGTATTCCTGTACAGTGCGCCTGATTTCCCTGGACAAATATGCCGGCAGGCGCTGATCAGAGCATTCTTCAGTTAAAGCGCGATGAAACCATCGCACGTGTGCTACCATATGTTAGCCAACTCTTGTACCAAATATCATTTTCAGTGGATATTCGAAATACAATATCTTTTTAGCTTTGGATTTAAGTTTTAGAACGGCTATTGGTAAATTAACGGTAAATGATTTAATAAATTTCTAGAGTCACGCGGCTTCCTTGTTAATAAACGTAGTCACGTAATAATAAAAGAATTCAGTCGTGACTTCTGGCAAAGTAACTTTGTTGTTTCTATCATAAAATATACAGTCAATTTAGATTTCATGGTTTGCTGATGATCTGCCATGTACTGTCGCAGCTACTTTCCTCTAAAGAAAGAGATATATTAATTTAATTATCAATAAAAATATATCTGGAGCACAAGATGCGCTAATTATAAAATATTGAGAAACCTTCAAGGATCTACTCTTTAAAAGTCAATCAGTAGATTATCACTGAAAACAGTGAATAGTCGTTGATTTGCAGTTATAAGTATACTACTGAAAATTGCAGTGACTATTCACTGTTTTCAGTGCTAATTCACTGATTGACTTTTACAGAGTAAATATCTAAATAATATTGAAAATATTGTCGAATATTTCACGTAGCTTGCACATTATATAAGAAATTCTCTAAAATAATACGCAACTGTTGTCTCTAACGAGCCCCAATGCATCTTCCTTTTATGTAATAATGAATAAAATTAGTATTACTACGCTGAGCGATCACCGGACACAGATCATACACACTTCCAGCAATTTCGCTGGAACGATATCGTCCGGTATGGCGCGATGGACATTTAGATTACGGCGCGCAAAATCCTCTCCATGTCCCGCAATCGAGAGACTTGGACGCGATTCTCGAGCAGTGCGTTACCGCGCGGTTATTAATTTCAACCGCGACGTACAACCGCTGAGCTGAACAACGTGCTCTCTCAGTATCCAGGTACATGCCACATACATAATAACTCCCCGGTACTTTCTGGTTAGCGTTTCCTACGTTATCTCGCTAATGTCGGCGCGCCTTCGCAATTTCTTATTAGCAGCGCAGTCTGATTGCAAACCGAGGGGCATCTATCACGCTTCCACTTTTCTCTGTAGTTGCTGCCGGCGATGCGCTACGCGTCAGAAATGCCATCGCTCCGTCGGATGGCCAATTTTCGAAAAAAAAAAACGCACTATATCTAGGTATCCATAAATCATATTTGCATTAAAGGAAATAGTTCTAACACGCGTCCCAGTTTTTTTATATAAAATTAATTAAGTGAACTCTTTACACGGAGAGAATTTTCTCGTAAAACTATCCTCAAGATTATGTAATCGTCGGACAACACGGCATTTCGAACAATTTTATGAGAGTTTCGTGAAATTTCACTAGTAATTATACTTATTGTTAGTATATTTTACTAGTAAAATTTCAAAAAACTCTCATAAAGTTGTTCAAAATGTCGTATTGTCCCACCATCACATGATTTTCAGGATAAATTTTAACGGAAAATTTCTTCCGTGTAAACGAACAAAAAAAATGGAATACATAATTTCGCAATTATTCTTTCTCTTACTGTATAATGTTCCAATTAAAATGGAAGATTTAATATATTTTTAACGAACAAAAATAATTATATTTACAACTTTAGTTTACAGCGCGTGGATTTTATTGTCACTTTCTAAAAGAATTCTCTCTCTCTCTCTCTCTGTCGTATCGCGAAAAATTTGAATTTATTGCGCGCTTTTGCAGAAGCAACAGAAGATATCTGCACAGACAAGCAATATCAGTTAGTTGTCAAGAAATTAAAATAGTTGCACGGGTATTTCCAGTTTCAGGCCGATACATATAAGCATTAATATACTTTCTCTTCGCTCTCTTTTTGTCACGAAATATCACACACTTATCATTTAAAACGCTACACATATCAAATCCCGGTTGTCAATTATTGCGCCACGCTATCTGCTGCGTCTGCGGCGATGTGATTTATGAACCTCCAGACATGACGGTTCTCTCAAGAAATGTTCCTCGTAGGCAGCTCGAATGTGTGTTATCCAGCGCGTATACCAACGAGATCGGCGTACGGTCGCGGCAACGTGTAATCTTGGAAACCGCCGCGGCACACGTGCACAGGTGCGCGGCGAAGCTGCGAGCGCTGCGAGCCGACATCATCACGGATTCTAGGCGCGAGTGCGACAAGTATAACGGCGGAACGCGGACAGACGGAGCTGGCTCTAATCCGGTCGGCCTCGAAAACCTCTCCTCCGTATGCCGTTATTATTCCCGTCACCCGTTACTCGGTAGACGAATAAAAAGAGGTTCGCCGCCTCCGAGTGCCAGTGGGCTCGTATCCGCGATCATATGGCAGTCCCATGTTTCCCCCGACCTGTCTCTCCCCTTTGTGCTTGCGCGCTTCTGCAGCAAGCTTCGTAAACGCGTGACGTCTCGTCGGCCGCCAGC